TTCCTTCTCCAGACTGCAATTCCCTTTCTGCAATATTGTCTCCATGGAAGGTAGTAAGTGGGCTATCAGAATCATCCATGATCAGTAGTCTTGGATCTGAAGTGCTTGGGTCAAGAATTTCATCTCTTCCTGTCTCTTTCTCCTCGGGGTGGTGGTGGCAGGAATTGTGTGCACTGTACCTTTCACCTTGGTGTATTATGAGGTCAGCAACTGCTGCCCTAGCTCCTCTAGCCCACCCAGAATCAGTGTCCGAGGTAAGAGCATGGAAGCAATTTTGTTAAGCTTGTAGTCTACCAAGACTCCTAGATTGTTTTCACATGCACTGCTAGTAAGCCAGGTGTCCTCGATCTTATATTTGTGTAGCTGGTTATTCCTGCCTAAGTGTAGACAGCCTACATTTGTCTCTGTTGAATTCCATTTTGTTTGGACCCAGTTCTCTAATCTGTTAAGGTCATCTTGAACCCCAATTCTGTCTTCTGCAGCATTAGCTACACCTTCCAGTTTGGTATCATCTGCAAATTTGATGAGTGTCTCCTCAATTCCTTTGTCCAAGTCGTTTTTAAAGATGTTGAGCTACGTGTGCCAGATCCAACTGCTAGTTGAAGCCCATGCATTGACTCCCACTAGTGCAATGGGGCTTTCCCCTCTCCTCCCCTTGTGTGCCCCACCCCACAGACTGACTTGATGGGGGGTATTGGGAGAACCCCAGAACAGTGAGTGGTGGGAGGAGAGGACAGACCATTCAATTGGGCAAGCAGTAGTGCTTGTACTGAAGGAACTTTATAACAGTGAAATTCCTCCCTACATGTTCATTCTGAAACCTGGATGTCCAAACATGCTCAGAGCATCAAAGTCTGTGGCAATGCAACCCAACATCACCAGCCAGCGTTGCAGGTATATTTCAAATAAATTACATTTTTGCAATATTTCATCTGCCTCAAAAAATGCCCTTCCTTGCTTCATAGATACGATAGTGAAGTGAAGAAGCATTAAAATGTACTTTGTTGCTAGATATGTAAAGAATGCAGGCCAGATACCAAGCTGCAATAAATCAGCTTTGCTCCACTGGTGCCGATGGAGCAGCAGTGATTTACAGAGCATAAAAGTGTGGATATTTTCTTTCATAACCAGAAGGAAGCGGATCTGGGAATGAACACAAATCCCAGCTTGTGTGTGTGTGTAAGAAAAATAATCAAGCTTTGAAAAGAGAAGAATTTCCCTCTGTGTGATAGTTGTGAAATTCCACAATTGTTTACTGCCCTCACCCAGGCATCATTAGGCTCCCTTAGATACTTTCAGTGCCAATGTAGGAAGCAGAAGTAACTGGTGTCTACTGAGACTGATAGGGTGAAAGCCATGGAAACCAGAGGCACCAATTTGGGTTTGTGGGTGCCCAGAAGCATGCACATGCCATACGACATCATGACATCACTCGGACCATCCAGTGCGCACTGCTCGGCCTCCACCTGCTGCCTTGCCTCTGCTGACTAATTCAACTACTTGAAAATGGGTTTCTTGGCTGAGCATGTGCTCAGAGGCTCCCTGTTCCTTATGGTCACCATACAGCCTAGTCATTTTTCCCCACCTGGATCTGGCTAGTGAATCTTGAGGTTCAATGAAGAAGAAGAAGAAGAAGAAGAAGAAGAAGAAGAAGAAGAAGAAGCAAAGTAGTCTGATTTTTGTCCCTGTTTTAAGGAATATTATTTTGTAGATTGGTCGTTCAGTGTGAGTAACCTCAGGCCTGAGGCACAAATGCAGACTTCCTCTCTCTATGGTCCTTAGGATGCCACCAGACCAAACCCCTCCTTTGTATTGTCTTTGAATGTTTTTGGCTGCCTGGTGTCCTCTTGAGTCCTAATGATGCTTGCCTGGATGAAGGCTAGAGATGGGTGTGTCAGTGTGTGTGTGTAAAAACTACCCTTCTGTACCAAGGTGAATTTTGCTTTAATAGTTCAGGCTTCTGGCCCCTCCACACCACTAGCATGTGGCCCTTGGAAATTAGCTCAGAAGGGAGCACGGCCTTTGGGATGAAAAACTGTTTCCCATGCCTTGTTTAGTGTGTTTCATTGTTGCTATGTATCATATACCTGGAGCAGGTCTGTTGCAGGTTCGGTGTATTCATTTGCCAGCTTTCTTCTACAAAACACAAAGCTGGATTTTTGGTTTTTGGTTTACTGGGATTAATGGAATTCAATGATGCTGAGCAAAAAGATTAACATACCCTCTAACACTAATAACAATCCCTATTCTCATACAAAAGATTGCTGCCTTCACCCCTCACCCCACTATTACTCATTGCTGAAGGCTCTGTTCCAGTTGCTGTATACTGTATTCATTTACTCTGTAATAGCCTGTCCTCCATTGATTTAACAGCAAAGACAGTGATATTTCTTCTTGAAGATATACTAGATTTAAAAAGAACAGAAAAGTGTTAGGAATTACGGGTGGATGAATCTGCCAATTTCAAGTTCTATTGGTTTCTCATTTTTCCATTCTTACGTTCTGTTTGCCACATCCACATTTGTTTGTGATTTTTCTTTTAGAAAATCTTCAGGAAAATTCATATGCATTTGCAGGCACATTTATCCTAATCCATGCATTTATGTATGCAATGTTGCCTAGTATACACCTTTTTTTGCAAAGAATTTCCCCTAATATAATGCAGTTTCATACATTATTTTCATGAAAATATACATTTCTTCCTGTATATATTAAATTGTAATGCTGTCGTCACACTGCAGTTCAGATGGCTGTCAATAGGCAGATATGCCAACTCCAATATAAGGATAGAATAGCAGGTAGGTAGGTAAATGAGGAAGAAGCATGCAGGTCATTGAGGGTGCTGGGAATTGTAGCTCCATGAGACGTAAACTATAGCTCCCAGGATTCCATACAAAGGAGTGTGAGGACTTATGATTTAAGTGTATGTTGTTTATGCTGCCAAAGACATTGAAGTCAGATAAAAACAGCAATAAACAAAACCGAGAAACTCATTGGAGTACATTGCTAGTTCTCACCTTGCAGGCTCTCATCCACTGACATCCCACTTCTCCACTCCCATCCATTCCTTTCTTAGCACCTGAATTTCTTAAGAGTCTTACAAAGGCCCTGTTTCTAGCCAACATATTTTGTTCCCCAGATACAACAACTCTTTTTCATATGAGTTAAATTGAAATAAATGCACAAATGGCTTCCATGTTTTGAACTACTCAGTTTCCTGACATGTCCTCTCCCATCAAAGACAGCCTCACTTCTGTAGAACAATGACAGTAACTGAACCTGTAAGTTATAAGGGTCCTGTGCATCTCTATAGCACAGGATTGTGGGACCTGTGACTCTCTGGGGATAGTTGGACTACAGTTTCCATTATCCTTGACCATTGGCCATATTGGCTAGGGCTGATGGGAGCTGGAGTGCAACAGCATCCAGACAGCCACCGGTTCCCCATTCCTGCTTTTGTGTATCAACCACTGGCTTCAATCAACAAAAATCCAAATGACTGTCTGGTATTGGATTAGGAGTCAGTGTTTCTAGAACAGAAGGTATTGCTTTCAGCAACTTTGAAACACCTGCTCCTCCCACTTTTAAGTGTTGGGGATCAATATCTACATTGACATGTTAGGAAAAGTGTCTGATCTGATTTCGGTGTTGTGGTTTATACTCAATAAGCAATCAGCAACGCACTTGTGTGAGGCGAGGCAGCCTTCAGAATGCCTCTAAAACCAGCTTTTAATGAGCATTAGCCACTTCTGGGGTTGGCTACAAAGAGAACCTTTAATTTCAAGGGACCAAGAAAGTTTTGTTGTCCCTATTGATGACCTTTCAGCAGCCCTGTGTTTTGCTATTATTTCTTGAGCTTTCAGAGTGGGAGGTTGCAAGACAGCAAAAGAGGGAGGGCAGGAATAGCTTTTATCTTTGCTAATAGGAATCTAATGGACACCACCGTCTGCCTGTAATTGGATTTTGCTTCAGATCATGATTAGGAAGATTGCTAAACAAAGTGTATAGAAACTGCCTGCAGAAGTTATATGCATTCTTTGGCTGTAATTGAATGAAGAGATGGGATAAAGGAGATCTTGGAGTTATCGGGTAAACTGAAATGGAAGCAATAAATGCAAGAGGGGCTGGAAATCACTGTCTTATGGAAGAAGAAAAAAGATGAATGTGGATAGCACTTCACAATCAGAAACATCTACCGAGGCAAATAAATAGGCACAGTTTGCTTGCCTATGCCTTATAACATTCATAGCTTTTTATTATCATGTGGATACCTGATTCACTCACAATATGAACCATTAAGAAGATGCAGAATTCACTTCTTGTTTCATCACACCCCTTAAAGTCATGATAACAAAGAATTATAGAACATATATTCAATTCAATTCAGCCTGCTTGCAAGACACATTTGATAGGATTCACATAATTCTGCTTGAGCCAAATTTGTCAGGGGTGGTTTGTGTTTTCAGGTTAGCAGTGCCTGTAATGATATGAATGGCAAAATTCAAAGCTGCCTCATGATCCGCACAGGAAGCTCAGAATCTCCAAGTGTCCTTATTTTCCAGAGTCATTCCTGATTTAGAGAAGCAGTCCCGGTTTTTTATTTGATCCTTGAATGTCCCACTTTCCCTTAGGATGTCACTATTTTCACTGGAGAAATGCTGGAGAGTATGGAGTTATCCTACCCCCGAGCCGTCTAAAAGCAATCCTTTATAGAGAAGTGGGGTGTTTTAGGTTTAATGTTTTATTATGTTTATATATATATATGTTGGAAGCTCCCATAGTGGCTGGGGCAACCCAGTAAAATGTTTAAACAGTAAAATTATCATTATGTAATGGGATGTCCCTATTTTCGCTGGAGAAATGTTGGAGGGTATGGAAGCTGTCATACTAGGCCAGACTATTTCCCACCTAGCCCAATACTGTTCCAATCCATCTGTGTGCAATTTGTGGCTATAGGGCTGCATGAATCTCAGCTTAATTTTGTGCAGAACTTTGGAAAGGACCTTTGCTCAGTGGTAGAGCATTTGCTTTGCATGCGTAAGGTCCCAGGTTCAATCCCTGGCATCTACAGGTAGGGTTGGGAGAGAACCCTGTTTAAAACGCCCGAGAGTTGCTGCCACCCAGTGTAGACAATACTGAGCTACATAGACCAATGTTCTGAATCAGTATAAGGCAACTTCCTATGTTCCTAATTCCAGAGCAGCCATTGTTCCATGGCTTGGATGCACATCTCCTATTCACCTGGAGTCATGTGTTCAGTATTGTGGGCCCAATTTTATGGTTCTCACAACTGAGGTAAGACACGCTACCATCTTGTTGAGCTTCCAGCACCAACCAAAGACTTCTTTTTTTCTGCTGGCAGGGATTTTAACTGAATTATGATTTTAGATTTTTAATTTAGTATTAATATTTTTGTGTACTGATTTGCTTGTACACTACTTCTAGATTATTGAAATCAGGTGACACATAAATGGTTGGGATTATAAATAAACAAATGCCAATCTGCAAAATATCACTTGTGTACTGTGGCAGGAGTAATATGGCCCTTCTCTGGAGATCCACTGGTGAGAAGGGGAGAAGGCAGAGGAGAAAAGGAGAAGGCCCACTCAGTTTTGGCTCTGGCCATGCCCACCATCTGCAGGCACTCCCTCACAGACCAGCCCTGGGCAACCCATTCTCAGTCTACTCATTCCTTTCCCACCACCTGTCACCTAAAACTAGAGAGCCAGGATTGAACACAGGACGATTGCATGCAAAGCATGTGTTCTATCACTGAACTATGGTGCATCCTCAGACATCTACCTAACTGCAGATACCTCAGTGAGGGATGCGGGTGGCGCTGTAGTCCAAATCACTGAGCGTCTTGGGCTTGCTGATCAGAAGGTCTGTGGTGCAAACCCCCGTGATGGAGTGAGCTCCTGTTGCTCAGTCCCAGCTCCTGCCAACATAGCAGTAAGGTAAAGCATGCCAGTGCAAGTAGATAAATAGGTACCACTGTGCGGGATGGTAAAAGGCATTTCTATATGCTCTGATTTCTGTCATGGTGTTCCGTTGCACCAAAAGCGGTTTAGTCATGCTGGTCACATGACTTGGAAAGCTGTCTGTGGACAAACGCTGGTTCCCTCAGCCTGAAAGTGAGATGAGCACTCCAACCCCATAGTCACTTTTGACTGGACTTAACCGTCCAGGGGTCCTTTACCTTTTACCGTACCTCAATGAAAATTAGATTGGGCCTTCTGACAGAACTGGTATATTTGCTAAGGGTGTGCACAAGCCCCAAGGTTTCCAATGTATCTGTGCTAACAAACAAACAAACAAACAAACAAACAGGATATGTTTTGGAATCCCTCTCTGCTTTGGCCACTTCAGTTTTTCATTTGGGTTCTAAGCTGCTCTGTATTTCCCATTATTAATTTGCTGGCACAGGAGCCTCTCTAGAGTGGATTAAGCCTGTGAAATTGCAATTCCAACAGCTTTTGTAGGGAAAGTAAAAGGGATCCCCTTTCGTTCATAATCAGTATTAGAGTAGTATCTTTATAAGAACAACTACCCCTCTGTCTGTCTGTCACACACACACACACACACACACACATATTGCTGGTGTTCTATCTTTCCTAACTTTAAAATAATTAAGAGGTGGCTGAGTGGTGGGGATTCTTGTTTTGTATGTTAAATACAAGCCATTAGCAGCTTCATAGTATCTACCTTAGGTTACCAGTGCTTGTTTGTGTTGGAAGAAGATGTCTTCCAATAGGTATTCCAAGGTAAAGCTGTCCAAATGCTGCCTGCACTGCTGAAAAACACTGGAGGTTTTTCTTCAAGCGAAAGAATGAACTTTTTTTAAAAAAAGTTGAATCAAGTTTTTACTTAATTCACTCAGGTATGCTGAGGATGAATGTTAAAAGCATAGGAGAGCTACTATGAGCAAGTACTGAGCTGGGCAGATTTGATATAGTAAAGATACGGCTAGTTATGGTTGCATTCTGACTGCTCCTTATGTAGGTGTGCTTGGCTAGCAGTCTAGGTCAGTGTTTGGTATTTCATCAATGGAAGCTAAGGTCAAGTGAGTGTCTCCTGATTTCTAGGACTCACTGACAATGGTTAGGAGAGAACCCCACCAGCATATGGAGAAAATGACATGCTCCAGCTGAAAAAAGACAGCAGGTTTTGTGAATGTAGAGATCATAGCTGGAGGAAGTTGAAGCAGTTTAAGGGTGGTGGTTGCTGTAGATCTGGCGTCTGCTTACTGAGTGCATGTTTGCCTCCACTGGGCTCTGCTTGTATGTATGCGTAAGTATTACAAATACAGTGGTACCTCGGGTTACAACTTTAATTCGTTCCGGAGGTCTGTTCTTAACCCCAAACCATTCTTAACCTGAGCCGCGCTTTCGCTAATGGGGCCTCCCACTGCCGCCAGCAGGCAATTTTCGTTCTCATCCTGGGGCAAAGTTCGCAACCCGGAGCAACTACTTCCAGGTTAGCAGAGTTTGTAACCCGAAGCGTTTGTAACCCGAAGCGTTTGTAACCCGAGGTACCACTGTACTGCTTATGTCTCTAGGATGCTTAATGTCATGCTGTGCAACAAGGCAAGATTCAGGAAGTCCTGTAGAAGCACAAGGAAAATGCTGAAACAGCCCTCATATAGCAGCAGCAGAAGAAGAGTTTGGATTTGATATCCCGCTTTATCGCCATCCCGTTAACAGCAGATAGCTTGCTCAGCCTCGTTAGAGTCTCTGTAAATATTTCCTGGTATTTCCCCTGTTTAATCCCTCCTAAAATAAGACGCTACACAGTCTTCTGTAAAGTATAAAACATTTACTCACAAGTAATCATCTGTTCACACAAAGGTTCCCAGAAGGCAGACTTAAAAGGTTAGAACGTAGTTTAAATGTGGTGACTATCTCCTTAGGGGAAAAAGCCCCTTTTCTTCTCTTGGCCTGAAGCCAAGGGTGCATCTTAGTAGTGCTGTTGTTAAGATGGCATCGATAGAGACAAGAGAGACAAGATGATCGCCAGCCTGTGGTTCTGGTTCTTTCTACTTCAGGAGAGGCCACACCCATTTCAAGTTACACATAGGAAGTTTCATCTCAGTCCTGGAAAGCAGTAAGTTCTGGCTGCAGGACTGAGACAACCTTCATGTCTACTCTAGCAATGTTGTGTTTGACTGCACCTGATTCTTACATCCCACATTTCCCCTACCCAGTGCCACTGTTGCCAAGCTTGGGGAGGAGGGAAAGCTGGTGTTTGTCTTTCCATGGCTGCCACTGCCAGCCCCCTTCTATGAGCAGCTGGGCAGGAAGAAAGAGGGAGTAGAGGACAAGAAGTTCTGATTTTTTTAAAAAACAACAACAACAACAAAAACTTTGTGGACCCATGTTTAATCTTGCTCCTTTCCAAAATTTATTTATTGGTGTGTCCTTTTCTTTTTGTAAATCTACCAAAGAATAAAATAAAATGAGGATTAAAGGTTTTTCTCAGGACCGTGAAGTGTGTGTGTGTGTGCTGTGTCCCTTTGCTGTAGTGGTGGTAGCAATGCCAGGGGTGGGTGGGTGTGAGAAAATGGGGGGGTCAAGGAGGCTCAGTTGGAAGGTTTCTTTTTTGAGGAATTTCCCTATTTTCATCTGAGGAATATTGGAGGATATGGTATTGTGCCTTGCCTCTTTATTCCATTCTCCTTACACAAGTTTCTCAAACCCATTTAGAGTGGCAATGGGATCTCGAAAATATTTTCCCTTTGGTTCCTTAAAACACACAACAGAAGTTTCAGTTATTGTTATCTCCTCCCCCGGCGCCCCCCCAGTCCTTACTGCAATGGCTTTGGAGCAGAATCAGGGCAAGGATAGAACTAGGGTAGCATTTGCAATTGGGAAAGCTATTAGAAGTGTACCTTAGTAGCGCCAGAAGCAGTGATAAATGCTGCCTGAATTCAAGCTATTGCTTTTAAGTGGTAAGGGAAATAAATCCAAGATTTCCATAGGGGCAATGCTTAGATTAGACTTAATCTTTCAAAGAAAGAAAGAGCAACAAGAATTTTCTGTACCTTAAAATAAATGCATCCAAGGGAGCAAACCATGACCTTAGCATTCCCTACAGCCTGACTGCAGAAGGCTGTTCTTTCAGATAATGGATCAATGCTGCAAAGTTTAAAACCCTCCTGGACTACGAGGCAGAAATACCATCTCAAAGGCCTACTCACTCTGAGGGTTGCTGATTTGTGTGTTTGTGTGCTGTGAAACACTATCCTTATGTGATGTGAAAAGCTCACTAGATAAGACTCTCCCCCTCACACACACTTTTAGAATGCCTCGCTATACAAAAGAGAGAAATTTCAAATAGCATGTGTGCTGATTAACCCTGCAGTATAATTTATACTTCTACTTATTTAATCACTCCGGAGTTTCAGGATTTCCTGGCAGTTGCTAGATTGCTTTTTAAAATTTAGGTTGGGTAGAGAAGAGTTTATGCGTTCTCACTCCTCCATCACAATTTGGGAGGGGGTGTGTTAAATATTGTTCTGTGTAAATTATTGCATTCTTTGCTCATCTGCATACAAAGCCTTCCCATCTTGGTGTCTTTAAATCACAGCTAACATCCTTATTACATCTCATCTCAGCCAGGCACCCAAATGACTGATCTCCACGTTTATACATGCTTCTTTTAAATCAAGTGAAGAAATACACTGGATTGTTGTGAAAGCAGTTTTGAAAATGACAAATGCTTGTTTTGCAAAGCTTATGGGGTCCAGAAGTATAAAATGTGATATATTCTCCCCCACCCCAAAAAAGTTAAAATAACATTAAAAATAACGTTATGAATTAGTGGGATTGTGTTTGTAAGTCACGACCTCCATCAGGTTTTTGCTTTGTTTGTTTGTTAATGTGAGTTTCATATTATGTATTTTGTGATTTTTAAAATGTATTTGTAAGCATTTATTGGACAGTTTGGGGAAAACATTTCTTTGACAGTTATACTATTCATCTTCAGAATACACCGTTTTGTAAATACTGTAGATGGGTTGCATCTAACTAAGTTGTAATCAGAGTAGTCCAAATAATAAGAAGAAGAGTTTG